TTACCACATGGATCTTTTAGCCTCTTTCCCTTGGCATGGCTTTAAATTCCCATCCCCTCAGGGGTACCCTGGCTCCCATCATCTGCTAATCATTGCTGAGTTGTTCACTTCCGGTATATGTGCATAGCAGTGTCCAAACTGTTAACCCACACCCTGTGGGAAACTGTCAAGTAGAGGACAGTCTTGTGTGTGCTTGCTTTGGCCTTTAGTGTTACAGATTGCACTCATTTCTGAAGTTACTTAGGTCAGCACTGACTCATCCACCTTCTTCAATAGTGTTCCTTACATTTATATTCCAGTTTAGTTTTTGAGGGGGAGGTAGGTCCTGGAGATCAAAACCATGGCCTTCAGCTCTAAACACGCACACCACCATTCAGCTATACCCCTCACCTATTTTGTCAAATTCTGCATTCCACTTTGGAGTTCTCCAGATGTCCTAAATGATTACTCCAATTCTGAATTTTTAAAATGTTAAACTTCACTCTTTGTGCTGTAAAGTTCAATGAATTTTGCCTAATGCGTAGTCCCGTATCCACAATCATAAGATAAAAAGTTTCACTGCCCTAAAAAAGGACTTGCTGTGCTTCACTTACTCAACCCTCCTCTACCCTGACAACCGCGTCTTTTTACTGTTTTTATAGTGCTCTGTGTGTCTTTACAAAAAAAAGAGAGAGGGGAGACACACAATAGCCTGTATTTACTTGCCCTAGCTACGTTAGCCATTCACCACACCCTCACTCCTGGGTCCCTGTTACACGCTCTCACTTGGGAGATGAGCAAACTGAGGCAAAAGAGGAGAAGGAAACCCTAGAGACGCGTAATGTTAAATAAGAGTTTGATTTCAAATTCTGGACCCTTTTATTGTTTAAAATCCCAATACGTCCATGATTAACTTGAGTCATTCCTGAGAGTCTTATATAGACTTGTCATTCTCCCAGTCTCTACATCTCATGGATGGCAGCCCAATATTTGGTCAGGGCTTTTAAGACTGGGATTTTACAGAAAGGTTCTCCACCTCCCCTTAAGAATATATTTTTTCTTTTTACTTATCAATAAAAAACTATGAATGGAATCTTATATTTTGAATACTAACTCTGTGAAATACAATGTATAGCTAGCACTACAACAAATTTCAGTTTGCTCGAGCCACATTTCAAGTGCTCAGCAGCCACAGATGAGGGCTGCAGGTATAGCTGAGTGGTAGAGTGTGTGCCTACCATATACAGGGTCCTGGGTTCAATCCCCAATACCTCAAATTCAGTAGGGCCTTGTAAAACACTAGCATAGGCTCTAAAAACATTTAATTAGGATTAACTTTAGTAGAGTGTATATGCACTTCAAAGCATCAATTTATATATGATAAACATGCATAAATTTGTCTTTCAATTTTTTAAAGACATCTTTCTATAGTCCAGGGTGGCCTTGACCTTGTCATCCTCCTGCCTCAACCTCCAAAGTGCTGGGATTAGAGGACTTGCACCACCATGCTCAATTTCTGAAATTTTTTTAAACAGAGGAATTTAGATGAATCACATACTTTTTTTAACGGTACAGGCTATTGAACCCAGAGCTTTCATACTGAACTACATTCTCAGTCCTTTTTCTACTTTTTGTTTTGAGACAAGGTCTTGCTAAGTCACCCAGGCTGCACTTGAGTATGTAATCCTCCTGCCTCAGCCTCCAAGGGTGTTGGGATGATAGACATGAAGAACATACCTGGCTTGTCTTTTCATTCTGAATGACTCTGGGGACAGTGCAAGTTCAAAGATGGGTGTTTTGGAACTAGACACACTCGGAGTGGTCTAGGACAGCCACACTCACACCTATGGTGGTTGCTTCTTTCCTTCACTGCACAGGTACCTACACTTTTTTTTTTTTTTTTTTTTTTTTTTTAGCAAGGCAGGGAACCACGGAGCTAAATCCCCAGCCACCTACACTCTTAGTACCTGTGTACTAAGCTAAGCTCTGCTAGCTGCGGGGAGTATGATGGCAAGAGCTTCTGACTTGCGGAGCTGTCAGTCTGCACAAGCGAGGTTAATCATGGAAGTTGCTGAGTGCTCTACAGAGTACCAAGGGGTGCTGCTCAGGCTAGGTTGGGGAGGGATGCATGTTTGCAGAGGATTTGCAGAATAATAAAACTCATCAAAAGTCAAGTCTGCTTTTTATTATTACCGTGCACCACATGGTAAAATCTAAACCACGTCAGTGATAAAATACTCCTCCCCAAAGATCAAATTGTTGGTCTAGCTTGAGCTTTAAAACTATGTTTGTAAGCTTTAAATCAGAACACTTTATTTATACACGAATAAACGTTTGACAAGGAAGTAACTCCCAGTTACGTGGTTAGTCCTAACACCAAAGGAACCAGAATCAGCTTCAGGCACTGGTTTTGAGCCTAGGAGAATAAGTAGTCTGGAATTGTTCAAGCTTGCTGCTGCATATGTGAGTCTTTAGCCCCATTGGTACTACATATGTTTATGTTGAAACAATAGATCCAAATGAGCAATGATAGCACAGTGATTTAGAAGCAGAAAGAGATGCTGAATTGCTTCAGTCCTATCATTCCACGTGGCCACTTGAAAGTTCATATTTAAATTCTTTAACATTGTGAATGAATCAACTGCGATGTGTTGTGACTGCAAGATTTGTAATTTCATGGAAAAAATAAATGCCCAACATAGGAAAGAAATGGAATCCATAAAACAGATTCAAACAGATATACAGGAGATTAAACACTCTATTGAAAGTGTACGCAACAGAATAAAAGAATGCGAAGATAGGCTCTCAGATATAGAAGATAAGATTGCAGTCAGTGACCAGGAAAAGAGAGGTCTCTTAAAAACAGTAAGAGATCATGAGAAATCGATCCAACAACTCCTAGATGATGCAAAGAAGAATAACATAAGACTGATAGGAATACATGAAGTAGCAGGGGAAAATACAAATGACTTAAAAAGTTGTTTGCAGAATTAATGACAGAAGACTTCCCAAACAGAGGGGAAGAATTTGACATTCAGATAACTGAGGCATATAGGACCCCAACTAGCTACAATAAAAAAAAATCTACACCTAGACATATAATAATCAAGATCCCAGAAACCCAACAGAAGAAGAAAATACTACAAGCAGTAAGAGAAAAGAAACAAATCACATACAAAGGAAAGCTCATCAGAATCACAGCAGACTTTTCAACACAAACCCTTGGGGCCAGGAGAGCCTGGAATAAGATATTTCAAGTACTAAAAGAGAACAACCTCCAACCTAGACTGATGTATCCTGCAAAACTCTCTTTCAAAATGGAGGGGGAAATAAGACACTTCCACAACAAACAAAACCTGAGAAACTACATGAATACCAAACCAGCACTACAAGCAGTTATAAACAAGATCCTAGAAAAAGACAATGAAGGCAACAACACCATGAGGCCCAACAGAGCAAATCAAATAGGCAAGGCAAGAAATTAAAAGGAGAAGGTGAAAAAGTAAAAAGAGTCAACAAAAGGCCAATAACATGTCAATAATAAGTCAGTACATATCAGTTATAACCAGCAATGTCAATGGCCTCAACTCACCAATCAAGACAAATAGACTGGCAAAATGGAATAAGAAGCAAAATCCAATAATATGTTGTATACAAGAAACACACCTAGCACAAAAAGAAGCCCATAGACTGAAAGTGAAAAGATAGAAAACAATTCTCCATGTGACAGGAGCCCAGAAAAAAACAGGGGTAGCAATCTTATTTGCAGACAAAGTAAATTTCAAACCAAAACTGAATCTAGTATTATAGATGTAGGACAGTACTGTATCATACCTCTATGAATGTAAAATATCTAGTACCTGCTTTATGATATATAGTAGGGACCGTGCTTTATCAGAGCTACATTTAATGATATTACTCTAGAATGTTCTCTTTCCAGATGATGATTAAAAGACTAATAAAAAAAATGGTGCCAGTTACCACAGCAGCAACTGAACTTGGCTGTTGTCTGGATATTATTCTTTTCTTTGTTTTTTTGTTTTGTTTTGTTTTGTTTTTTTAATGGAATGTGCTGAATGTCTATAATTTTGTTCAGATGACTGCAGAACCTGGAAAAGCTGTTGCTGCTAT